GCTCCTCTTCGAAATGTTAGGCACGTGTTGCCATTGGGGTTTATTCATGGCGGTGGACAAACTGCATCGGTTCGTTTCGCATCGGGTCTCAAGTCTCTTTGCAAACGTGTGCTTTCCGGGATGGTATCCTTATCTTCCCTTCACCAGTGACAATACATTTCATACCAGATTTACCATTTGCTAACCAGCACCTCTGGTTTTCACGCTGATTGACGACTAAAATTGGCTCAATGTCCCTGACGGCCGCAGAGAGCGGGCTTCCTACTTGATTGATCACAGCTACGTAGGCTATCTTTTCGATCTGCCCACCCGTCGTCGTTCAGCGTGGCAGCCTTCCTCCAACCCTCTCGGCACCGTGCCAGTCAACTTCGTTAAAAATACATTGAAAGCTGTGATCCGAGCTGGGTCTTCGAATGAGAACAAGCATCCCCAAGAATACATGGACAGGAAGCACTTAACTTCCCAAAACCTCTCTTTCTCCCCGGACCTCCACGGCTGAATCCAAACTCTGGCCTCAAACTCAATTCCATACGCAGTGGCTCATTTCCGGCCGAGCAGGTGATCCAATTTTCGATGCCTGCTACGCCATCACAGTACAATCCTTAGAAGACAAGGACATCGAACAAAGTGGTTTAGAAGTGGCTGATAGCGCATTGCTCGACCGTATTGGTCCGGCAATTTCCCTAAACATGCGGGCGTCAGCGTCGAGTGGCTTCGACTGACCGATCGTGGGATTCGGGGAAATGGGTATATGATGTTCATGGAGCTGAACAACCTAGAGATTGCACAATTGCTCGAGAGTCGAATAGCCAAAGTGGTTTGGTGAGCTGCTCCAGGAGTAAGATCTTCTCTTGCTTTCAAAGCTGTAATTCAAAAACAAATTTTATTCCAGACAGTATTCGGTGGCCACAGAACACAAGTCAAATCCGATGTTCCACGGTAAAGCCTCATCCAGACGCAGGGACACTGCCCCTTCAGTGGGTGTTTCCCTCATACAGGTGGTGAACCAGCTTCCTTTTCCAGGCTCCCGAGAGAGGGTGCTCGGGAGGAGGAGAAACAGTGTCGATATCCCGCACGCCGCCCTTTCCTTTGAAGCTCACCATCGCATACAGAGATTTCGAAGTTGAAATAGAAGAGGTGCACAAAGACACCCCATTCGATATAGCGTGAGGTCGCGACATTTGCTGCAAGCATAAAGGCGGGAAACTCAAATTCGAGGGGCAACGCCTGAGCAAATTTTCACGGATTCCAGGTACTGCAGAGCTCGCTGGAATCTACGAAGTGAGAGGAGAGCTGCTCACAGAGCCCATGATGAGCAGTGACGGTGGTTGAAGAGGCACACTATTCTCCTCACCTTGAGTTGGCAGCCATACTCGTACTGTTCCAGATGGGCTCGGCATCGAACTTCTTCACGTGCTCGGCTACCATATAACCTGACTTGTGACTCCGCAAACATGGACTCAGCTCTCTTAAGATAATCTTAGGTATCTCTGTTCGTAGATACTTGGATCTCAAGTCAATCTAGATGCATTCTAATTCGCGACATGCGATTCGCGATTTGCGCTAGCCGAGAGGGTTGGCATCTCATCGTAAGGCGAAGTCGCCTTAAAATAGCGTGGGCGAAGGCCAAAGAAAGAGTGCTCGCCTCATCCTTGGTTCTCATGCACTGGCTCGGTTTTTGTGTGCTAGACTGCTTTAGGAAGTGAGATCAACACGACAGTTTCAGCCTGCAACATCACATCTGGAGTCTGGCTGCATCTTGGCGTCATCATCTATCTGTGGCCCAGCATCAATCGCTCCTCTCTCTGACAAAATCCTTCTCTCTGATAACACAGCAATCATGGGTCTTTGAATTGACCGGCCCCCAACCCCCCCTTCACACTCAACCAGGTTCTCAGTGTCGTTCTAAGAACGGGACTGAGAGAACACTGTCGCTACCCATCCATGGTACCTTGAACACTCATCATTTATCTCTTCGAAACAATCAATCCTTCGCCCATCACAGGCGCACATCACGCCTCCAATTCACCCAGTGATCAATCATGCAACTTAACCCATTCGTCACCCTCTCCCTCCTCCTCATCACCCTCCTCCAACCCTCCCTCGCCCAAACGCCCTCCAACTTCGCCTTCCGCACCACGAACCCGCTAATTTTGCAATTTAACACCACAATCGTTTCTCCCCAAGGGGAACTGTTGCCCGAAGCCGGTACGTCTCCGTCCTCTCCTCTGCCCTCAACCCCCCATTCCTCCCTACCGCTGACGGGCCCCAGCCGTCGCCCACCCCCAACCCTCGGCACCACCGCCGCCCTCCCCGGCACCTACCTGGCCGTCATGGTCGACCCCGGCGCCGGCACCGCGACCGACGTCTTCGAAGTCCTGCACTACCTGCTCCCGGGCCTGACCTCCCCCGACGCCCCCACGACGCGCAACGGCACGGCCTTCTACCCCCTCACGACCGCCGCCCAGCCGCTCGCGCCCTATCTCGTCCCCGCACCCACGCCGGGCGACGCGCACTCGTACACCCTCACGCTGTGGAAGCAGCCAGAGGGCTTCGCGGTCCCCGGCGCCTTTCTCCGCTACTTGCCGCTCAATGCGTCGGATCCGACGAATCGGTATCCGTTCAATCTGACGGGCTTGGTGGCGGCCGCGGGGTTGGGACAGCCGCTCGCGGCGGGATATTTTGATGTGCAGAACACTACTGCTAGTGCTACGATGACGGCGGGGCATACGACTACGAGTGGGGGAGCGAGTAGTACGACATCGTCGTCGGGGCACAGTACGAGTGAGGGGAGCAGTACGGCGACGGGGAAGACGGTGGCGGCGACCAGTTCGGCCGCCTTGATAAGTGCCGAAGGTTGTGTGAGTGTTTGGTCTGTGGGCTGTTTTGCATGGGCGCCCTTGGCGTTGGCCGGCGTTGCGGCTTGGATGTGAGCAGGCCGGAGAGGAGTATAGTGTGGGCATGGGAGGAAGGTCAGATGCTAGGCTCACTCTTTGCTTTCAATGGAATATTATGGTATGTTAATGGAAGCGGCGTTGATCTAGAGCTTAGAGCTACGCGTAGCTACTGGACCAGTGTAGATCTGCTGCGGCCGCCATATAGGCGGCGAGTTCACTGCAGGTCATGATTCAGTCTGTATTTAAAGGGGTTGATCGACTTACTATTGAATTCCCTCCACCGGGCCATGTACCCCTGCGCCCTCGCAATCGCCGTCAACGGGAAGATGATCTCGGGCGGCAAACCACTAACACAAATCCATGAGTCCCTCCAATGCTAACGCCAAGTAACGATACCCCAATGCACTCGATCCACTGTAGGCGCTTCCAACGGAGGAAAGGGTGGAAGAGATGGAGTGCAACGTACAGCGCAGTATAGACAAAGCACCCAAAAAGATCAACATTCATCCTGATGTTCCTGCTCCGGAACCACTCATCCTCGCTCACGCATCGCTCAATCTCCTCCGCGACCTCCACAATCTCGAACTTGCTGCGCTCAAACCCGCCCAAGATCTCCTTCACAAAGCCTGCGCGCGGATCCACAGTCTCGTACACGCGATGGCCGAACCCATAGAGCTTCCCCCTCCCGCTCTTCACCTCCGCGATCAGTGCCGGCACCTGTGCTGTTGAGCCCACGCGCGCCAGCATGTGGTAGACCATGTCGATGGCGCCGCCATGCAGGGGCCCGTAGCCGGCGCTCAGGGCGGCGATGAGGCAGCTGACGGGGTCGGCGCGCGTGGAGGCCGTGTGCAGGAAGGCGGCTGTGGCGTTGGCGAGGCCGTGATCGGCGTATAGCAGCCAAAGTTTCTCGATGGCGGTATGCTCGTGTGTCGAGAGGGGGCGGCCGAGCATGCGGAAGACGTTGGCGGCGAAAGGGAGAGTGGGGAGAGGCGGCGTGAAGGGCGTGGAGGTGCGGTGGCAGTAGGTTACTGCGACGACGAGGGCGAGGGCGGAGAGGGTGGGGGTGATTTGGGCTTCGATTGTTAAAGGGGGGTTGGCGTATTCGTAGAGGTTGGCGCCTATGAAGGCGGGAATTGTAGTGGGGCGGGAGGAGAGGTGGGCCGATAGGCCGGCGAGGATCATGGTCATTGGGGGGGCGGTGGTGCTGGTATTGAGGAGCGTAAGTTGGACGCTTGAGCTGGGTACGGTGCAAGGGCGTGCTCACGGGAAGGCGTGGATGACGCTGAAGATTGTGTCTGCGGGCGTCGACAGTGCGGCTGCAAGCTCTGTTCGCAGCTGGGCTTTCTGCGTTTGGGACGGCAGATAGCCCCAGGTGAGAAAGTGGAGGACATCCTCATATTGTAGGTCTTTGTGGTAGAGTTCGCCGACGGAGTAGCTTCTGTAATGCAGGGTTCCAGTGCTGCCATTCCTAGATTCAACGCGTGGGTGTCAGCCCGGGCTGGGAAGCTTGCTGGTGCTTGTCAAGTTGTTCATACAGGTATGCAACTTCTGACTCGACGACGGCGGTGTTTCGAAGTCCTGGGTCAGAGATGAGCAGACCGGTATCGGCATCAGGCGCTGTTATTTGCTTGAAATGGGGTGCGTGAATTGCGTTGTGGGATATTGGGATCTCGTAAGTCTTTCTTGTACGGTTGTCAGTAATACTGAGCGAAGCCTTCTGGGTCATAGTGTTGGATTCAATTGAACATCGCGTCGTACGTGTTGCTCGCCGATTGTGGCTGTCGATGTCAGGTACCTCATCTGCACGTAATTTCTGAAATTAACTTGAATTTTCTATGCCGTGGCATCAGAATCGGTGGCCTTGTTCGGAGTAGCGAACGGTAAGATCGTAGCGCGATAATTTGTCATGCATCCATCAATGGGGCCATGAGGGGCACGCGCATTAGCGGTAACCTTTAGTTACAGCTTCGCAGCCACTTACCTTCGGCGTCTCCGTGATAATTGTGTAGTTGTGCAGACGGGTCAGGTAACGAATTTGAAAGCGATAGCGCAGAGAAGCCTGAAACTTCAGAGCACTTGTTTACCTGATTGATACTTATAGCAATGGCAACGAGGACGCCAAACGACAATACCCGCCAAGCTTACGATCAAATCATTATCGACATCACCACCTACGTCTATCACCACAAGCCATCGAGTCCCAAAGCATGGCTCCACGCTCGCACGGCGCTTCTGGACGCCCTTGGCTGCGCCATCGAGACCCTGACGACAAGTCCTGAATGTGTGCGCATGCTAGGCCCCGTTGTTCCGGGCACAGTAGTTCCCAATGGCTTCAGGTTGCCTGGTACCTCGTATCAATTAGATCCCGTCAAAGGAGCCTTCGATATGGCTATACTGATTCGCTATCTTGACCATAGTGATGGGTTTTATGGCGCTGAATGGGGACATCCGTCGGGTAAGTTGTCTCCCCGTGGTAGAGAACACCCCAGCGTATTCAATGGCTCGAACGTGAATTGATATTGATAATGGAGACAACCTCGGTGCCATTCTCGCCGTCAGCGACTGGCTCAATCGTACCTCCCCCAAAGTCCGCGGCAGTAATCCCATGGCTCCGCCCCTCACAGTATCAACCCTTCTCACCGCTCTCATCAAAGCCTATGAGATCCAAGGGATATTTCAAATCCTTAATTCCTTTAACGCCCTTGGTCTTGATCATGTCATTCTCGTCAAAGTATCCGCGACGGCGGTCACCTGTTGGCTTCTAGGCTTGAGCGAGCCGCAGACCCACGGTTAGTGGGTCCATTATGAGGCCATAGCGTTGGTGGCTGTTTGATCAGCCGTTCGTGTTGTTGGTACCCTTGTTGGTACCCCTGTTGGTACCCCGGCAAGGGGTTGGGGACAGGTGTCCAGTACGAGCTATATAGCCACCTGTTTTGCACCTGTCAACGGCTCTTCATTCGATTTCGTCTCTTTTAGAGCTATATTATTTTTCTTCTTCTTTTCGTAGTTAAGTCTATATAAATTAGTCTTTATTTAACTATTATAAGTATTATCCAACTATTATAAATATACTCTATACTCTTATATACTTCGTAATAGCCTCCGCCGCTACTATTAAGTTTAAAAAAGTAATTAAATATATTACCCCCGCCTTTAAGATTATTAAAAAGACCTTTAACGTAGCTAATAAGGCTAATAAGGCCCTTAAGGCCAAAAAGGCTATTAAGGCTAAAATACCTCCCCCTCGCTAAAGAATATTCTTATATACGATACGTTATCGAGTATTATAAGCCCGGATTAGATAAATAAAACGCCTTTATTTATTACTAAAGTAGATCTTTAAGAATTAATAGCCTAGCTATTTAAGGTCTAAGAGAAGCGAAATAATCGCTATTCTTATAAGGGTAAAGTTTATAAGTTATATCGCTATTATCGCCGCCATAGCCGTAGTTATCGTTATCGTTACTTAAATATATCGAATTCGAATTTATTTAACTCTAAATCGAACTAAGAGAAAAGAAGAGAGATTTTCTTTCGTTATATAAAAGATAAGAAGCCCTTTCTTAGTATTACTAAAAGATTTCGAAGTATAAATATTAAGTACTTTAAATAAATCTTCTTCGAGATCTTTAAGATTAAAAATTTCGCTAAACTAGCTTATATATATACTATCTCGATTAAGAAGAATAAGAATATTAATAGCTATAATTATATAATATATTACTTTTATATATACTCGATAGTCGCTAATCGCTTTATATATATTAGCGTAAAGAAAGACTTAAATAAAACTTTATATACGTATACTATTCGCTTATTACGACTATCTATTATCTATAGATTTAACTTTATTCTCGCTTATTATCTCGTCTTTATTATTATATATATTTAGAGTAATTAAGATAATTCTAAGATCTAAAAAGCGAATAATTAGAGTTATAGAGATCTTCTTATATTTAAAGAAACTTATATAAGTAATAATAAGCTAAATATCGTTACGCCTAGCCTTAATAAGATTACCGCCGAAGAAATTAAAATTTATAAGAATTTTAATAGAGGTAGCTATTTTCGCGAGCGCTATATCTATTTATATATCTATATAATCTATTAATAAAATTATTTAATAGATAAGTATCTTAAGATCTTAAATTTAGCTATAAATAGCTTTAATTATTTATTATTAAATAATCGTATTATTAAGATAGAATAACTTTTAGAGTATTCGCAGATACTCTAGTCGCTATAGTATATATCTAAGAGATTTTTATACGCGCTATATAATCTACTAAACTCGAATTTACTCTATTAGAGATCGTTAATAGTTAATAATTAATTTAAATAATTAAACGATTACTCGAATCTAATATTTATTAAGATTATTTCGACTATTCTTCGAAAGAGCGTTAAGATAGATTTTCGAGGCTATATTTTAGTCTATCGTAATTAAAATTATCTATTAATACGTTAAATATCTTAAATATTATTAATAAATCTTTAAAAATAGCTTTAGTAATATCGTCTAATCGAGGTTAATTCTTAAAATAAACCCTACTACATCTATTCGCTACTCGATTTAATATTAAAATATAATAAAGATTAAAGACGAATTTATAATCTCTTATTTTTATATAGTTATTTAGTTAATAACGATATTTAGACGAAGTAAGGCGTATTAAAATATATTATATATAATAACGTAGTAGTAGTATTACTATAGAAAGGTCTAAGAGTTTAATTCGTTAAAAGAGATCTTAAAGACGTCTTTAGATATATATTCGTCGCTATATTAAATTAATAACTACTTAATTTTAATTACGATAAACGCTATTAAAAAGAATAATATCTATTATTTAAACTACGTATATTATTATTTCTATTTAATCTCTTTATAAAGGCCTTTACTTAAATCTTAATCGCGATTCTTCTATAAAAAGTAATACTTTACTATCTAGACGATTTCTTTATAATTCTTTTATTAGATAATAATATAATTATATATATCTAATAGTTCGACTAGCTATATAGCGAATTAAGTCTTTAAATTAATTATATAAAGAATATTATAGATTTTATAGTCGAGTTTCTAGAAATCGAATTCGATAGTATTTATATATAGGCGAGATTCTCCTCGAATAAGCTAGCTAAAGCGAGAATTATAATTAAAAACCTTTTAAAAAGAATAATTATCTTATATTAGAAGCTCGAGTTAATAATTAACTTTCTCTCTTTCGCTATTAAAGTCGTAATTTTAGAAAGAGTATTCTTAAGACGACTTTTTAATATTCTTCGAAGGTCTATAATAATTGTATAAATTATAGACGATATAAGAGTAGACTTACTATAGTGAAATATCTTTCTAAAGTACTAAAATAGCGTCGCCTTAATACGTTACGTCGATAGTCGAGTTACGTAATATATATAAATCGATATATCTAGAAAATTCGATATAAGAGACTATATTCTCGATTATCTCGATTATATTTAATCGATTTAGCTTAAAAACGTTTTTAGTATTAAAATAGCTATACGTTATCGTTTTAAAGATATATAATTTAAAGAAATAAAGGTCGTTTATTACGCGATAGAGCTATAACTATATTAGTTATAAGAATCTCGCTTAATTCTCTACTACGATAACGACGTATACGTTAATAAATTATGTAAATTCTTTATATACGAGCTAGCTATAACTCTATTACGCGATATAGCTATATTAATAACTACTTATAATATTATAATAATATTTATTTAAATATCTACGAAGGCTAATTAGCTAGTCGATAATCTATTATATTTTTAATATCGAAAAATCGCTAACGTATATTTATAGCTGAAAGGTCTTATATCTCCGCTAAAATAAGGCGAGATCTATTAGAATATTAATATAATTAGATTATACTATCTCGAGAGATTATATAACTTCTCTAATAGAGATTTATTATTAAAATTAGAAAGATATATATAACTTTAATAAGATTCTATACGATCTATTACGTACTAATAAGAATCTAATCTCTCTTTTTAATAACTATAAATACTCTTATAGACTAAATTATTAATCTAAGTACTTATCGCGTTAAGTCGAAGTCTATAAAGATATATCTTATCGATCTTAGATTAGTCTATATAAATATAGAATTCGATAATCTCTTAATATTTTATTACTTTTAATTATAACGTATTATTATAGATAGTTAACGTTTTCGTAGCGAAGCTAATATAAAAGAAAGGCGTTTAATTATTAAGAATCTATTACTTTAAATTCTTTCTTATTTCGATAAGTTAATCTATACTAAGACGACTCTATATATCTTCTTTTATCTTATCTTCGCGATATTTCTACGCGTAGATAAGTTTATTTATAATAAGCGAGATCTTTAATAGAAGAACTTCGGCGAATAATTTCTTATATATCGCTCGATAAGACTATTCGATAATTATCTAAAACTTATACTTTTAGCGTTTAAAACGAATCTATTTCGTCGTAATATTATACTTATAATCGTTATATTAGATAATAACGTATACGTAGTTAAAGTCTTATATTATCTCTTTAAATAGAAAGCCTTATCTAATATATCGCTATTTTAGTTAAGAGGCTTCTTCTTTATTAAAGAAATCGTTATTAATAACCTCCGCGAGATATTAATATTACTTAATATTAAGGGCTATTATTTAAATTATTTCTTTTATAGAGAGATTATAATATTAGTATATAACGTCGATCTTAGTAATAATGAGATTTAATTATTAAATCGTTAAAAGTTAGATTTCTATCGCCTATATATCGTTACTTATCTAGTTTATATACTTAGAGTATTACTATAATATTAGTATCTTTTAGCCTATTCGCGCTAATACTATTAATCTCTATTACTTACTACGATAGATATCGTTAAAAGTTCTTCTCGAGACCTTCACTCTCTTTAAACGACGTCTTAGGTTTTAAGAGTTTTCTAGCGCTAAGAGGTCTTTTTTTAAATTATTTATATATTTAAAAAAGATCTTAGCTATCTTAGTATTAAATATATCTAATTATCTATCTATATATCTACTTATATATACGTTATTTTATATATAGCCTTATTATTTACGAGTACTAATCGTAATAGTAGAACTATAGATTAGTAAGTTTATTATAAAACTATAGCGTTAGTAGCTATTAAATCAGCGCTTCGTATTAATACCCTTGTTGGTACCTCTATTAGTACCCCGATAAGGGGTTAAGGATAGGTATTCAATACGAGCTATATAGCCATCTATTTTACACCTATCAACGGCTCTTTATTCGATTTCGTCTCTGTTAGAGCTATATTATTTTTCTCTCACCTACCCACACCTATATATAGCCTTATTTCACTCCAGGTTATGTCGCTTAGATATAGGAGTTTTCTAGCGCTGGGGGGCCTTTTTTTGAACTATTTATATATCTAAAAAGGTCTTAGCTGCCTCAGTGTTGGATATGCCCAATCATCTATCTACATATCTACTTC